ACTTGACAGACAATTTTCTAGTAAATTAAATATTAATAAATAAAGCAGCGTTTTCTATTGTTATTTAAAAGGGTGCAGGATAAATTTTCGCTGTCATTCTGTACGTGTTTGGTCCAATGAGTCCACAGGACCCCAGTCTGCTGTGTCTATAGGTCAATTCCTCGCTCATATAAAGTTCACCCAAATATCACTGCACCAATTTTTTTAACAGACGACATACAAACCAACCTCCAGCCACAAAACCGTACTTAAAAGAGGTGAATATTGAGGAAGTTGTCAGCCCAATATGGACGGAGAGGTTAAAGAAATTAAATTAAATTATAAGCCTAAATGAGATTTCAGGTTGTGACGGCGTGATGACGGAGGTAGTATGACCTCTGAAACGTCGGTAAACTTCTACCAGACTAAACGGCGCAACAACTCATAAGACAGCAATCTTCAGACTCACCTGACGTCCTAAATTCAATTCTAACAGCCACCAGCAAACTTTAAAAAAAATACGTCATTAAAACAATAAGCCAACTCCTGAAACGTCGTGTGTATCAGATATACCCCAGGTAACAGATAATATTCAACGTAATATCGGGATAATAAATCAACAAATACGACAGACCTTTGAAGAAAAGAGAGACCTACCTTATCGGCTTGTCGAAGGCAATCAATCCTTCTCATTTTGCCTTTCTGGTCGGGATTAGACAGCACGCACATGGCCGGCTTCTTGCCCGTGATACTGAGAACGAAATCCTCCCTGCACTCCTGCGTTATGTCCTTCCTCAGCTTGCCTAAGAGCCGAGAGGCCCATTTCTGTTTCACTTCAACTTTCTCGTTCTGCAACAGAAGGAAACGCCATGTTATGGTCAAATGGAGGTCCATCATCATTTGAAGTCAAATGATAGATAGAGCTATCTAAGGGACCCAACAGAGTAGGTACCTGTCACCTGAAGACGGAGACAGAACCAGCCTCCGAAACGTCGTGGTTTTAAAGAACAGATAGATAGAGCTATCTAAGGGACCCAACAGAGTAGGTACCTGTCACCTGAAGACGGAGACAGAACCAGCCTCCGAAACGTCGTGGTTTTAAAGAACAGGCGATGGAAAAAAAAGTCCTGACAATGAATAATTTTAAGTATAAACTACTGTCGTCAAAACCCTTTAGAATTGGATAACTATATACTCCACCTTCTCTATCAACAACTCTTCGATGTCCATTAAAGGGTTTTAAATGATTCTCCCCGTAAACGAGGATTAATTTCATAAACATCGTAAACGAGTTAACATCTACAATAGCCATGTGTAGAGTTTTCTTTGCGGTACGGATTCAAATCTTAAACAGGCTTAAGAAGGAAACAGCTGTGTATCGTGTCGCTGAGACGAAAACTGACAACTGAAGAACGCTCATTGTCCTGCGTACAGTATAGTAATATCGATCTATCTTTGTAGTTTACTGATCCACGGTTTATGTAACAACTATTTATCAATAGCGCGGGTCAGATTCTCGTAACAATTTGCGAAAGTATACACGTCACATTCAGCTGGTACTTTGTATCGGAACAGAACATCTGTAAAGTTATGTTTTAGACTACCTGTCTCACTCGCGTGTTTCACAAGTTGCATTACTTGAACGGCGCTACAATATGTAAGTTGTAAGGAAAATGTTTATACACACAGTGGCATTACGTAATAAGATATTTCTCTAAACCGAGTCTCAACAGACTAGTGATAAAATTTAATAAATACCTTATCGCTTTCGAGATGCATTTCAAATGAATGTACAATTTTTCATACGACGCGATGTGGACCACATTAAGAATTATAATATTTTGTGTTATGACGCCATGAAGACGATGGGGCGTGGAGAAAACTGCACAATGACGAGCTTAAAAATCTGTACTGCTCCCCCAGTATTGTGAGGGTGATTAAGTCGAGAAGAATGAGATGGGCGGGACATGTAGCGCACATGGATGGGACAAGAGGTGTGCACCGGGTACTGGTTGGGAAACCTGAAGGGAAGAGACCGCTGGGGAGACCTAGACGTAGATGGGAGGATAATCTCAGGCGGGATCTATGGGAGATAGGAGTCGAAGGAGACTGGATTTTGTTGGCCCAGGACAGGGTCCGGTGGAGGGCTTTGGTTAATTCGGTGATGAACCTTCGGGTTCCGTAAGCCATCTGGTTGGTTGAGTCCACTATTTGGGAAGCCTGAGGGGAAGAGACCGCTGGGGAGACCTAGACGTAGATGGGAGGATAATCTCAGGCGGGATCTATGGGAGATAGGAGTCGAAGGAGACTGGATTTTGTTGGCCCAGGACAGGGTCCGGTGGAGGGCTTTGGTTAATTCGGTGATGAACCTTCGGGTTCCGTAAGCCATCTGGTTGGTTGAGTCCACTATTTGGGAAGCCTGAGGGGAAGAGACCGCTGGGGAGACCTAGACGTAGATGGGAGGATAATCTCAGGCGGGATCTATGGGAGATAGGAGTCGAAGGAGACTGGATTTTGTTGGCCCAGGACAGGGTCCGGTGGAGGGCTTTGGTTAATTCGGTGATGAACCTTCGGGTTCGGTAAGCCATCTAGTTAGTTAGTTATGACGCCATATACTCTTGCGAAATTCGTTATACAATATTAAAATAATCTATATTAAATATAGACTTCAATGTTAATAAATTCTTTAACTAAAACTGTCCGTTTCGTGGAACTATTCAGTCAAGTTGTCTTCTAGCAAAGCAAAACACACAACAGAAATTTCCCCCACAAAACGGCTACTTATCTCCGTTTTGCGTCTATAGTAACCATCGTCAGAACTGTGAAAGGTAACCACGTGAGAACATGACATGCCAATGACAACAACATTATTTATCGACTGACTTGGGTGGGTGGTTATTGGGAATATAAATGCAACGGACATGTTTACGCTGCTCCGACCAATCACAATTTGTGACACAATCCCCCTGGTAACATCTTAGACACTATTTCTGTTATTTCGACAGCTAGCAAGAAGCACGGAAAAGCTGGTACCTTTTACTATTTTGACACTGTCCTACGCCCACAAGATCCTCAGTTAAAACACAAAGATATTTATTACGGACACGTGTGAGTCTAACAGCGCTTGTTATAGTGAACGGGTAAATTAAAATAACATTTCTGAAGACCACAGCTGGCATTAAATACCGCACTGGCTTTATCCAAGTGCCATTTCCAATCATAACATTTATTTTTAATATTAATTTTTGCATTCTATTGTGGTGTTATTATATATAAAGTAGCAAACATTCTGTCACACACCATATATTTATATTATTATTATTATTATTTAGTGTTCTGTCTGACGACAGGTCCATATGAACAGGATCCTTCCATCCTTTTCTCGGACTGGGACCTGTTCATATACGTTCTTGGCAGATGATCCAGAAGTGGTTTGCCATTGCCTTCTTCTGTGTGTGAATGGAGTAATTGTTGGGATGCCACGGAGGAAAACTCCGTGTTGCCTAGACCACGGCCTTGCCCAACACAAGTTATAAATTCGGGCACCGCCGGGAATCGAACCCGAGACCCCAGGATTACAAGGCCAGTGTTTCGATCGCTCAGAATCATCTTCAGGACCTCGTGCCTAAAATTTAATTCTACGCTGTTAATAATATAAATATATTGTTTGACGAAATCTTTGTTTCTCTGTTTTTATTTATATGTTTTCAAAGAATCTAAGTTGTGTTTGCATAGAATTATATAAATCGTGACGTCATATTTCTGTCCACAACCGAGAGACGATGTATTTTAATGAGTCCTTGAGGGTCTGTTCTGTTATATAGCATCGAGGAAGCAAGCGACTACATACTTTTTCAAGAAAATGTCCCTGCTGCCAGTTGTAATGACTGAGTAAAACTTCGAAAAAGCTTATTATCAGTTTACGACGCACGCTTTGTTGAGATTCGAACCGGACACATCCCTAATACGAATCAGAAGTGTTACCGCTAGAGACATTTAGCCGTCAAAATAAATACTGGACACAGACCGGGACATTAATAAAAGAAATCTCAGTTTCCTCATGATTCGGCTGAAATAAAGCCCGCACGAAAAGAGATTTGTATGTTTCCCCCCAAACCAGTAAAGCCCGCATTTAGAAAGCAAACGATGACCCACAGCAATTTCAAATTACGGGGGGAACAATTTACGGAAATAGACGATGAACACGTAAATTATCTTCATAGTGTAAGATCACAGAAAAACGTATTCTTCATAAAATCATGTTACCGTCAATTCTCAAATATCGAAACAAAACACTTTTATTATTCCTGTGTCAGACACTCAAACATGTACAGTAAGGACAGTGTAAATATCTTCCACCTTCAAGAAGTTTCTCTTCTGGGTTGTAGCGCTGTGTAGTCTGGTATAAGTTTACCGACGTGTCAGATATCCTTGCTGCCTCCATCATCAGGGCGATGAGTACTCATCAACAAGAACCTTCCAAAATTTGGTAAAATTCTACCAGAATACGCGTCGCAACAACCCAGAAGACATCCATGTTCAGACTCACCGCAGTTAAAACCTCAAATAATATATTTCCCACCTTCTCCGAAATCGCAGAAAATCTTCCTCGAAACCACACCGAGGTGTGGGTAAAATATTTTTGGCATTCAGAAATTATATTCAGCATTTTTCACGGTCGAGTTGTTGGCTTGTGTCCGGGTCTAATATGAAGACGACCGAACACAAGGCGGAGACTGAATCAAGACCAAAATGGCTAAGCCACGGTAAATCTGTTTGTGTGTGGAGAAACGGTGCCAAAATCACCACAAACAAAGGAACAAAAGCCTAGCTGTTACTTCATAATACCCACGAAAAACCCAAGTCGAGGTTAAAGAATCCATACACACCACGTAAAGTGTCTCCAGCATAAATCTAGATACATTCTAAAATTTGATGAGCTTTCAATAAACGAAACTGATGGTCAACTGGTCAGACAGGTTCCTTCAATTACAAATTCACAGATAAGCTACGTTTCCGAGTTACATACGTGCCAGGAATACGTGACAGACTTCATAAAATATCAGTGCTGACAACTTAACCTGTCATTAACTTAATAACACAATAGACTAATAGACTTATTTTTAAATTAATAACACAATAAACTAATAGACTCATTTTTAAATTAATAACACAATAGACTAATAGACTTATTTTTAAATTAATAACACAATAGACTAATAGACTTATTTTTATAACACAATAGACTAATAGTTAATAACACAATAGACTAATAGACTTATTTTTAAATTAATAACACAATAGACTAATAGACTTATTTTTAAATTAATAACACAATAGACTAATAGACTTATTTTTAAATTAATAACACAATAGACTAATAGACTTATTTTTAATTTAATAACACAATAGACTAACAGACTTATTTTTAAATTAGAGTCCCGACTGTCTGTTCAACTATATAAACATCTAAATTATAAATATCGTACATAAAAAGCTTTGTAAAACAACAGTAAAACAGTTTTGTTGGTTTTTTGATATCCGTAAAAACATTTAAGCAAAATATATAGATAAATTGAGATCCGTACAGTTTTGACACCAGCCGACGTCGTAATCGGGGATTTCCCTAATTAAAGTACGACGAGTTAAAGTTATGTTCGATAAGGCACGCCGAAATCAGGCCCAAAGGACGATTAATTCTGAGGCAACAAATCTGTTTCAAGCGAATTGTTTATATAACATCGATAATCGATGTACATACGAAGTTAAAATAACATATTCAATTCAGAATGCCAGGTAACTCTGATATTCATTTAAATCAACTGATATTTCATAAAAACTTACGTTAC